CTTTCCCTATACCCCTCCCTGCCCTATCCAATTTTTCTAGCATCATTTATTGAAAAGATTGTTCTTTTCTCCATTGAACTTTTTTTGGCACTAAAATCAATTGACTATATATGTATAGGTCTATTTCTTGACTCTCTACTGTGTGTCACTGCTATTTATCTTTATGCCAGTAATGCATGTCTTGATTACAGTGGCTTTATAAAAAAAATTGTGAAATCAGATAGTATAAATAAATACCCAGCTCTGTTCTCCTTTCTCAGAGTTGATTAGGCAGTTATAATTCCTTTGCTTTTCCACATAACTTTTAGAATGAGCTTGTCAACTTTTACTAAAAATCCTGGTAAGACTTTATTGGGATGTACTGAAGCTATTGGATTAATTTTGAAAGAAATGATATATTCACAATATTGGGTCTTCTAATTAGGAAGCACAATGTAACTCTCCATTGATTTAAGTCTTCTTTAATTTCTCTCAGCAATATTTTGTAGTTTTCATTATACAAGTCTTGCACATCTTTTGTCAAATTATCTGCTAGTATATCAGGTTTTAAGCTATTATAAATGGTTTTTTTAATTCAAGTTCCGTCTGTTGTTGAATGGAAATCCAACTGATTTTTGTATGTTCATCTTTTTCCCTGCAATGTTGCTAAACTCATTTATTAGAGTAGTTATTTTTTTGTAACTCCTATAGAATGTCCTACATAGGTGGTCATGTCATTCGTGATAATTTACCGTTTTCCATTCTGTTCACTTTTTATTTCTTCATCTTGCTTGGTTACACTGACTAGAATCACCAATGCAGTGTTGAATACAAGTGTCAGGAGTGAACATTCTTGCCTTATTCCTGATCTTGGAGAGAGAGAGCATTCAGTTTTTCCCCATTAACTGTGTTAATTGTAGGTTTTGCATAGATGTCCTTTATCAGGAGGAGAAAGTTACTTTCTAGTCCTAGTTTGCTGAGTTTGTATCAGACATGCATGTTTGAATTTTGTCAAATGCCTTTTCTGCATCTACTGAGATGATCAATTGTTTATCTTTTCCCACAAACATGTTGTTACATCGATTGATTTTTTAATGTTATACCTACTTTTCATTCCTGGGAAAAACTCAACATGGTCATGATGTATTGGACATTTTATGTGTTGCCTGATTCAATTTGCTAACATTTTGTTAAGAATTTTTATATCTATGTTCATGAGGGATATTGGACTGTAGTTTTCTTTTCTTCTAATTGTTTTTCTGATTTTGGAATCGGAGTAATGTTGGCCTCATAAAATGAATTGAGATTTATTGCCTCCTCTTCAATTTTCAGAAAAAGTAAAATGAGTATTATTTCTTTCTAAATTCCTTTGTAGAATTCACCAGTGAAGCAATCTGGGCCTGAAGTGGTTTTTGTGAGAAGGTTTTAAACTACAAATTTAATTTCCTTAATAAATATAAGGCTACTTAAATTATCTAATTTTTTTAATAAGTTTTAGTGGATCGTGTCTTTTAGAAATTTATTCATCTATGTAATCAAATTTATTGACATAAAGTTGATTATAATATTTCCTTATTATCCTTTTAATATCTGTAGATCTTAAAGTTATGTCATCTCACTCATCCCTAATATTGATAATTTGTGTCCTCTCTCATTTGATTCTTGATGGATTTTCTAGAACTTATCTATTTTATTGATATTTTCAAAGAACTAGTTTATTGTTTTATTGATACTCTCTATTGGTTTTGCTTTTTATTTTGTGGACATATATATATTTGCTTTTATTTTTATTACCTTCTGTTTACTTTGGGTACTCTGTCATTTTTCTAATTTCTAGAGTGAAAACTTTAGGTCAATGATTTAAGAAAATGTTTCTTCTTTACTAATATAGGAACTTATATAGATTATTTGCGTCATATTTAATTTCTAAGTATGTTGGGATTTTCTAGATATCTTTTGGTTATGGACTTCTGATTTAATTACATAGAGCTCAGAAAGCATACTTTGTATGATTTAGTCCATTTAATTTTATTGGAACATTTTATGGCTCAGAATATGACCTGTCTTGTTTTACGTTTCATTGGCACTTGAAAATAACATGTTTTCTGCTGTTGTTAGGTGAAATGTTCTAGAAATGTCAATTAGGTTAACTTGGTTGCTAATATTGATCAAATCTTCTGTATTCTTACTGGTTTTCTCTCTCCTGGTTCTATCAGTTACTGAGAGAGTTTTGAAATATCTACTGTCATTATCAATTTATCTATTTTTCCTTTCATTTCAATCAGTTTTTGTTTTATGTATTTTTAAGGTCTATTATTAGATACATAAAAATTTTCATTTGTTTTATCTTCTTGATGGGTAGACCCCTTTATTATTATCAAATGACTCTTCTTATCCTTGGTCATATTCTTTGTTCTGAAATCTACTTTGCCTGATATTAATATGGAAACTCCAACTTTCTTATGATTAGTGATTGAATGGAATATCTTTTTTTATACTCTTATTTCAACTTCTCTTTGTGTTTATTTAGAGTGGTTTTTTTGTAGTTGGATCTTGCTTTTAAATTCCAATCTGACAATCTCTGCCTTTTAATTGTGATGATCAAACCATTTACATTTCATGTGATTAATGATATGATTGGGTTTGACTCTACCATCTTGCTGTTCATTTGATAGTAATGTTGGTTACAGATGGTCTTCTTCCCAAGCTCTACCTGGGGTCCCCTCTGTGCTTTTCAGCTTAAAACCTCTTCAGATTGCTGGAGCAATCATAGGTTTCACCTCATTTGTTTCCCCATTCTCGGGGATCAATGTTCTATACTGCTTGATGCACAATGTATAAAAACCATTTTTTTCTCCAGAAATAATGTATTCTTCTACTTATATGAGATAGTCAAAATCATTGAGACAGAAAGTAGAATGGTAGTTGCCATGGCCTGGGAAAGGGGAGAATGGGAAGTGAGTATTTAGTGGGTATAGAGTTTCAGTTTCATGAGATGAAAGAGCTATGGAGATGGATGACAGTGAATGGATTTAATACCACTCAACTGTACACTTTAAAATGGTTAAGGTGCTAAATTTTATGTTATGTGGATTTTATCACAATAAAAAAAGGGAAAGGGAAAAAAATGTTCCATATATTTTGTATGTTTTTAGTTGTTTCAGTTAACCCAGTCTGTTACTTTATCTCACCCAGAAGCAAAAGCCTTCAGTTTTTATTTTAACAATTGTTATTTCTTTCTATATCTACCTACAGCATCTATGCATATAACTTCATGTTTTTCACTCTTATAAAATATGAAACCAGGTTTTCAATCCTATGTTATGTCTCCTAACTATCAGCAGAACAGTTCTCTACTTGAAGGGAAGAACTTCACAGTCAAAAGGTGTTTTAATAACTTAGAACCTCAATGCTACCAAAGTCACCTAGATGTGCAAATATATAATAATAATAATAATAACAACAACAATAATAGATAACTTTGTTTAGAAATTAAATTGTGCTAGGCACTGTGCTGAGTTCTTTCATTTGCTCTTAACAAAAACACTCTGAGGAGAAACTGCTTTTACAGATGTGACTTCGAGGCTTGGAAATGTTGAGTGGCTTTTGCCATGTTGCCCCACAGAAGTAGGCTTGAAAATTCGAGTTCTTCAATTTTATGTTGTGCTGTCTCCAAGATTCTGAAGTAACTATGGCCCTTTCCATATATGACTTCAAGTATGAAATAGGATTCAGCCATTACTAAAGGAAAATCTCGCACAATTCCTTGCAGCTCATTTCGCTAGTTTGGTTTATCACAAGTTTGTTTGTCAGGTCAACTCTAAAAGCAAACGATATATTTTCGCAAATTAAGATTTATGCTAATTTTGATTCCTATCGAAAGCATAGATGAATTTTTAAAAGACTTTCATTTATTTTTTTGTTAAGTTACTTGATTACTAATGTATACATTTTGTTGAAGTGAAATTATTAATCCTTTTCTAAATTTCCTCTAGCTTTTACTTTTCGGGTAAACTTAAATTTTTAGTTCTTGTTTGGCTAATCGTATGTAATAGTATCTATTAAGTAATGAGTCCATTCTCATCGATGTACTACTAGCATTTTATATATTTATCATGCTTCTAAGAAATCTCCAAATCTGTGATAACTTTTTCTAAAACTCTCTGATCATCCAAATTAATTAATTCATTAATTATAAGAGAAAGTCCCGAAACTGCCCATCTGGAGATCATCTGTTACTATTTCCATCCACTCTGCTGTACTCAGTAAGTTTCACATTTGAGGAGCGAACAGTGAAGTGTGCAGCTTCAGCCCAGTATGAAAGCCATTGCACACACCTATCTCAGCACTTTTCCTGGAGTAACGAGGGAAGGGAGGGCAGTGAACAGAGCAGAGGCACCACCAGCCACATCCCAGGCAGCCTTCCTTCCTGCACCATCTTCTCAGAGCCAGCCTTTGACAATCACAAAAACATGAAGTCTTTGCCAAAAACCTGTAGGTTCTGCTTACAACCTAAGAGAATGAGAATAAAGAGAAATAATCTTTCTGACGTCATACTGGGTTCTGGAGATGTTTCTTATTTATTTATTTATTCATTAGCTTTATTTATTTATTTTTTATTATGGTGACATTGGTTAACAAAATCCAGTAAGTTTCAGGTGTACAACTTAACAGTAAGGCGTATATATTTATTGCCTTGCGTTGGAGATGTTTCAAATGTTGATATTAGGATGATAAATTCTTGGATTGTGGATTTATTGGTTTATTGTGCTTGATGTGGGTGGGAAAGGAGTGAAAACGAACGCACATTTCCAGGCGCCTACCATGTGCCAGGCGTGCTATCACATTTCATCAAAATTCTATGAGGTAAGCATCATTATCCCTATTTTATGGATTCAAACTACAACTCCGAGACTAAATAAGTGACCCACAGATAACCCAAGTACCAAAGCTGATTCGAACCCAAGTCTTTCTGGTCGTTATTCCAGGGTCATTGTTTCTACACTATGCCATCATTTTTTCATGGCCTTGGATCGTGAGCATTTATACAACCCTAGCACTGTGCACATATTTATAAATGTTAGGTAGAAAATGTCCATGGCGGCCAGCCACACTCGATTCACTTATAACCACTTCATATAAATTAACGATCCACGCAACTTTTAAGGCCCATTGGAAAGCTTTTCTTTGTGTTAAAGAAAATCTCAGATGCCATTTAACACACACAAAACAGAAGCAAATTGCTCCCTTTATCATAATCACTTCATATCGTGTAGCGATTAAAAGGAAACCCAACACTTATCTCTATCTTTTGTATTCTCCAAACTGGATTTTTTTTTCCTGAATTAAAATTTTGTTATAAATTTTCACATATTATTTTATTTCTAAGTTTTTCAACAAATAGTTAACCAAGCATGTAAGTATGAATATCATGGGATCAACATTTTTTAACATTTAAGTAAATGGAGAAAATCTTCTGGCTATTAAGGATTCCAAAAGGTATATTAATTTTATCTAAATTCCCATAGGTAATCTGCCACATTCTAAAACTAAAAATATGATAAACTATCAAATGAGAACTTCAGAAAAATCGGTCAACCTGACAAAGGTAAGGAAATGTGTTTTTCATGGCAATGAGTCTAAAAATCTACCTTTACAATGGCAATATTTGTGTGCTCCTAAGAGTGAACAGCCTTTGCCTTAGTTTTTCTCCCTTTGATCTTTTTTCTGCTTAAACAGATATTTATGTTATGTTCATATTACCACTAGTCACTAAAATAATCATTTATTTCTGATATATTCCTAAGACTTCATTTATCATGTTACAGTTTTAATGTTACTATGAGACCCACTAAAAATGTGTCAGCTAAAATCAGAGATATTCACATTCTGGGCAAGACCAATTCAGATTCCATGAGTAGACAAAACAATTAAAGTAAAAATATCAATGACATTTTGCTGTTTTACATATTCAAATGCCTAGACTATGATAACTAGAAGGAAAAATTCCATGTGCTCCCTGCAAATCATAAAGTACAATCAGTAATGAAGTTCCACTGTCTTCTTTGGTCTTAGGGTGAAACTGGAGAAACCACACGTCATGCCAGAGAGACGACCAACATGAAAACACAAACGGTTGCATCATATTTTAGAGTAAGATACTAAGTTATGGTGTGTTGTGCTTAGGGATATTATTTATTCTAAATAAGAGCGATAGATCAAAAGCTAGTAACAAATATCAGAGTGCTATTCGCAAAAGAATTTTTATCGTATCTCACTATTTTTTAGATATAGAATATATTAGAGTATGCCGTCAAAAACCTGTGGATTCGTTTACTTGTATTTCACATGTAAAATTATTATATACTAGGTCAATCTTAATGGAGGTCTATACTCGCATTAAAATTTGTCCATAGAACCAAGTGCATTTCTACCAGAATAAAACTTAAAAAGGGTGGGTTTTTGGTTTTTTTTAATTCAATGCTATGATAACTAGCAATGCTCTTTCTCACTCATAATTTTAAGATAGACAGATGGGACAAGGTTGAGCATCCATCTTCATTCTAAATCTTTCTGTACATAGACAAACTGAAAACTTGCATGCGCGCGCGCGCGCGCGCGTGTGTGTGTGTGTGTGTGTGTGTGTGTGTGTGTGTTTAAAACCAGTGTTGGAATGGGGAAAGGAGAAGGGACCAGGGAAGCACAGTAACATGCCAAGGAAGTGAGTCGCTATATCTTTAGCATATGATCAAGTGACCTTTCTTCCTTGGACAATATGGGAGAAAGAAAAGAGCTTAATTTTCTCTGTGCTCTAGGGAGCTCTAGATAACCATGCCCTCATTACTGATCTCAGTTCTTGTTTATCTCTTCTGATAAGATCATATTAACTAGCCAATAAAAATGAAGAAAATGCCACCTAAAACTTGGAAATTATTAATAGTATAATTTAATATGGGGAAAGGGGAGGAAATTGGATTAAATTTATTAAAAGTGCTCAGTGAATAAACCCGGTTCCCTAACAGAATCACAAAATACTTTTAGAAATAGCTGGATAGCTTTATTAAATGTTTTTCAAGTCCCAAGCTTATAGCAGACAGTGTGTGCTTAATCATTTTTGAGTAGCACCCATTATATTTATACCCTTAATATTTCATGTTTGCTGTGGATACAGTCACATTACATCAGGGCTGCAGCACAGCTGAATCCCCAAGAATATTTACAAACAGATTATTTCCTTTTTTTTAAAACGAGCTATCCAAACTCTATGTGTTTGTTTAAATCATTAGTTCATAAAATTGTTTTACTCTTCAATTTGAAATGAAAAGCGATAGAAGATAATTCCATGTAGTATGCAAAGTATTCTTAAAGTTATTTTTTACTCTGCAGAGAACAATGACCATAGTGTAACACTCTGCCTTGGTCTCTGTACAGAGGTCTATGTACAGAGGTCTATGTACAGAGACCAAGGCAGAGTGTTACACTATGGTCATTGTTCTCTGCCTTGGTCTATGTACAGAAAGAAAAGCCAGTGCCTAAATTGCAGTGAGCTTTTTCTCAGCTTGCCAAGAGACATGTAAACCACCTTCACACCTCCAGTACCTGACAGATGTGTGCATGGCTAAAGGAATGATGACTCACTACCAAATGTAATGAACAGCGGCTCCAAAGTGACAGACCCAGCTGTTTGAAGATCACATCTGAGACTGAGTGCCCAAGAGGAAGCCATGCAAATCCAGTGCTGTGTCAGTTACCCAATTCCAGCATTTGGTTTGCACTGGCCTTAGAGCTTAGGCTTTTATATTTCAGACACTAAAAGAGATACAGCCATCAACAGCTGTCAACGTCCAGGCATTCATTACCTGGCGAACAAATTGTATCCTGGTCTCTAACACACTAGTTTTCTGGGATTCCACTTTTAGTTGAACCATGATTAGCCTAACATATTATACTTAGTTAATTAGCTACTAGTTCATTATATTTAACAGATTAGCTACAGCTCTAATAAGGTATTGCTGCAGAATATAGTTTTCGCATCTATGTAATATTAAAAATTCTAAAATAAATAAGAAAATTATCAATCCAGAGCAGATTCGAGTGCTTAAATGGACCTGCTTATTTTTATAACTATATCCTATATATTAAATTGCAGTAGCTTCTCAGTTTTTATTTTAAACTAGGAGATGATTCTGACAGGGATTAAAGTGTTTATTTTCATACTTTAAAGAAATTAGAGTTGGACAAGGAAATTAAGCAAGAAAGTAGATTGTGTGCCTAATTGTTATAACTTGGCAAGTTTCCTGAGAGGATATAATTACCTACAAACTATATCAAAAATAATGGTTTCTATCTATTAAAGCTGCCTTTAGAATTTACAGGCAGCCTTTGAATAGCTAAGATCCAAGTTATTGCCTCTGCATTTTTATGAATAAATCTGCGTTTTTAAAAATATATTATAAATGAAATTTTTACTGTGAATTAATGTACGTGTAACATTCAGTTTTCAGATTTCTTTTTTTCTTATAATAAAAAGATCTACAAGCTCATAAATTTTCATGTGCTACACTGGGAAATTTATTTTTGTTTCCTATTATAGTATTCCCTGATGGATTTGTTATCTAAAATGGTGGTGGGTCAACCTCATTTTGTCCGTTGCATCAAACCAAATAATGAACGTCAAGCAAGAAAATACGACAAAGAGAAAGTTCTGCTACAGCTTCGCTACACAGGAATTCTGGAAACAGCAAGAATTCGAAGGCTAGGATACTCACATCGGATACTTTTTGCTAACTTTATAAAGCGGTACGTAGATTTCTTTTTAAGTTTCCATTGCCATTTATATAAAAAGGTCTTCAGAAGAATTATAGGAACCAAAATAGGCATTCTGGGAAGGAGCCATTTTGTTCATGCGAAGGATTATGCATTGAAAGAGAAAATAGCTGGATGTTTCTCTTGTTAGCTGGGAGATTTGGTGTGTGACAGCAGAGGATATGTCACAGGCAGCGTGATTGAGAGACTTGAGCTTCTGTACTGAGAAACTGAAGGATCCAGTTCTCGTCCTAGCTCTGCCACTTCCTATGTGACCATGGCCTATATACCAGTGATTCTCAATGAGGGGATACTCAAAGGATATTTGTTAATGTCTGGAGGCATTTTGGGTTGTCACAACGGGTGGGATCGGGAAGGGGGTGCTGCTGGCATCTACTGGGTAGAGAACAGGGATCCTGCTAAACATCTGAAAATGCCCAGCAGAACCTCATTACAACAAATAATTATCCAACCTAAGATGGATACAGAACTGCATTTTCCTTATCTAATAAATCTGCCATGACCACCTGATGGAATTGTTACAAGAATCTAATGAGATAGTGTCTCTAAAGGTGATTTAGAACAGGGGTCCCCAACCCCTAGGCTATGGACCAGTACCAGTCTATGGCCTATTAGGAACCGGGTTGCACAGCAGGCGAGTGGCTGGCAAGCCAGCGAGGCTTCATCTGTATTTGCAGCTGCTCCCCAGCGCTAGCATCACCACCTCAGCTCCACCTCAGATCATCAGGCATTATATTCTCATAGGAGCTCCGGTCCCTGGTGCCAAAAAGGTTGAGGACTGATGATTTAAAAGACATAAAGAATCAATTGGGTATAAGGAGTTCTTTCTGATATTTGAGATTAATGTAAAATGAATTAAGCTATAAATTAATTTCATTAAGTAATACATTAATGGTGATGTAGAGGTTCAATATCTTATGTATTTAATATTTTAAACACTCATGTTTCTATGATTTTTATAGCCATTAAACTTGAACTTTCAATTTTCAAAAGAGAGGTCTATTACAATTTTAGGGTGAAACCTAGCATTTGAGGAATTCTCCATATGTAACATTCTCTGGCTTTTTTCAGAGTATATAAATTAAGATTAAGAACAAAACAAAGTTTTGTGATTGTACAATAAACTGATTTCTAACTCCCTCCTCCCACCAAAACAAAACAAAATATTGTCATGTCTTATATCAAGCATTCTTTTACTTGGAATAATCAAGACCTTTACTAAATGGAGTGAGAATTCTAACTCTCCTTGTAAATTTTCATATTTTCAGCAATTCATGGTAGCTCTGGATTCTTTTTTTTCTTTAGAGACTGAGGAAAGAAAATAAGAGGTATTCATTTGAAGTGCCTTGAAATAAGGAAAATCTTACTGCATTTTTATGATGGAGAGCAAAATTACATAAATATGGTGACTTTCATATTGGCAAATTCTTTATAGTAGTTTAAGGCAGACTTTAAAAATTCAAGTTTTAGAGTTCAGAAGTACAGCCAGCATCTAATCACTGATGTCATCTCTCAATTTAAGAACCCAATTTAAGAACCAAAGCTAAGAAATAAAAAATATAATTTCGTATTGGCCAATAGGTAATTCTTCATTCTGTACATGAAAACAGGTAACCCAAAAGTATTTGATACAGAGGAGTTTCAAATTTCAAGTTAAAATTTGACCTCATTATACTTTTCATTTTTAAAGAGAAGAGTAGATCTTTAACTTGCTTAAATATTAATATAAGTAACATTAATATAATATTGATATAAGTATCCTTATATTTTAGTGACTTTTATGTACAAGGCATCGTGCTACTCACTGTAGGAAATACTGAATTTTTTTTCTTTGATTTTCAGTGGCCTTTAATGTTTTCTTTTTTATTATTATTTTTATTTTTATTAGTCTCAAGTATACAGTACATTGGTTAGACATTTATATAGTTTATAAAACGATCCCCCTAATTGCTCCTTCTCTCCTCTGGTTTTCCACCCATAACGTTACTGCCGACTGCATTCCCTGCGCCGTGCTCCCCATCCCCATGACCATCTATCAACTGCTAATTTGTACTTTTTTACCCCTTCCCAACCCCATCCCCTATGTCCGTCACCAAATTGTCCTCTATATTTGAGTCGGTTTTTGATTAGTTTGTTCTTTTTGTTCCTTAGATTCTGTATTTAACTGAAATCATATGGTATTTGTCTTTCTCTGTCTGGCTTATTTTACTCAGCATAATATCCTCTAGGTCCATCCATGTCGTTGCAAATGGTAGGATTTCATTTTTTTTTAACTGGCTGAGTAATATTCCATTGTATATATGAAGCATAACTTCTTTATCTAATCATCTGTTGATGGGCATTTAGGTTGCTTCTGTATCTTGACTATTGTAAATTGTGCTGCCGTGAATATTGAGGTGCATAGATCTTTATGAATTATTGTTTTGGTTTTTTGGGGTGATAAATACCCAGAAGTGCAATCGCTGGGTCAAAAGGTATATCCATTTTTCAATTTTTGAGAAACCCCAGACTGTTTTCCATAGCAGCTATACTAATTTGCAATCCCACCAACTATATATGAGGGCTCCCTTTTCTCCACATCCTCACCAACACTTGTTGTTCTTAGATTTATTGATGATAGTCATTCTGACACGTGTGACGTGATATCTCATTGTGGCTTTAATTTGCATTTCTCTGATGATTAGTGACCTTGAGCATCTTTTCATATGTCTATTGGCCATCTGTATTTTCTCTTTGGAGAAGTATCTGCCCATGGAAATACTGAATTTTAAACTTTAAAATGCAGACATGATCCTAAAGAATTAACAATCCAGTTAAAATTATCAGAACCATCAACATGAAAAATTAATAAGCAGTGCAAGGTAATAAATACCAAGATCCAAGGGAGTGGTACAAGCAGTATAAGAAATAGAAGAGAAGGATTATCTCCAGCCGGGCTGCTAAGAGAGTATCAAGAAAGAAGGCTCAAACTGGGATCTAATGGAGGGTACAGTTTGTGGAAAAGACAGGGGCTTTCTCCATCTACAAGATGGTGTGTCAAAAGCCAGACGGACTTGAATTAGACTGCTTTGGCAGAGTGGGTCTTAGTGAAGTGACAGAAGATAAGATGGGAAAACTGACTGGGTTAAAAATATGGCCTTGAATGCCAGCATAAACTTATACTTTCAAAATTATCCATGGTTTTACAATACTGTGAGAACTGATTCTATTTTCTTGATGATATTATAGTTGAAAGTCACTTACTTTGAAGGTCAGAAATGAGAATAAATTCTCAAATGTATTTCAAAATGCCATGCTATTTATTATAGAATAGCAAATCCCTATGTGATAAATGAGGAGGAGGGAAAACTAAGTACATAGAGAGCATGTGAATGGCTGTTCTGATGACAGGAAGTAAGGCTAAACCTTTTCTCTGTCACTAATTTGAAAGCTGTCATCAAATTAGCCTTAGGAAGGCAGAGCAATTTGCAAAGTCCCTGTGGAGGTGTAAATAGGACTAAAAGACCCCCCTCTGTCCTGCCTTAGCCTTTGACTAACCTTCCTTGTACCATGCAGAAATTCATCAGATCCTTTGTGTATTCTGTTGAGAAACTCTTCTGTTTGTGACAAAAATGATCTTAAGGGAAGAGACATAACATAATGATCTTAAAGGAAGTGACACTGTTTTTGAAATTACTGTAGTTATTTCAAATGAAATCTCATATTAAGAAGCTGCTGAAGGTTAGCTCCATTTTCCCACCAGGTACCTAAACACAATGGTTTGGCTCCCAGAGGTCTAATACAAAGCCAGAGCCTATGAAAGGCAGTAGTATAGTGAAGTAGGTAAGTGCACATACTTTGAAGTCAGAAAACCCAGGTTCCAATCCTAGTTCTGCCACTTAACTAAATGTGTGACCTTGTTCAAAGTTACTTGAGTTCTGTAAGTTTCAAGCTTCAATTTCTCTCATCGGCAAATAGGAATGATAATAATAGTATATAATTTAATATGTGGTTATAAGCATTAAATAAAATAATATGTATGAAGTTTATTAGTAGAATCAAATGTCCACAATACATATTAGCTATAATTATTTTCATTATTATTTTTACCTCAGCTCCCATATCCCAAAATTACTTGTTATGTACAGTGCTGTGGTCTTGAATCCCACAATGTAAACCATGAAACTATGTTGGCTTTAAAACAAGTCTTTAAACCAAAGGGTACACAAAGCACGGGCCTGGGACTTTCTCTGTAAACACATCTGATCTACCTAGATGTTTATTTCCACAGCAAGTCACAGAGGCAATTCATTACTCATTCAACAAGCATTTAATTGAGCACCCACTATGTTCCAGTCCTTGAATAAAAGATTAACCCTAATCTTAATCCAAAGACAAGTAAAAGAGCTTCTGACTTTAAGAAACTCACTGACTAGCTGTGGGGACAGGGATCTTATTACCTACATGATCATAAAATGTAATGTAAACTCCAAAAGGCAAGGGCGGTGGTCTACTGTGTTCACTGCTGTGTCCCCAACACTTATAAGGGTGCTTGGCACATAGTAGGTGCTCAATAAATGGAGAGAAGAGTAGTGGATATTTGTTTTGTTTTGTTTTTTGTGTGTTTGTTATTGTTTTTGTTGTTTTGGATATTTTTAATAAAAGTATGCACAGGGTACACTGAGAGCATGAAGTAGAGATGGCAGAATTGAAGAGGAAAGGAAATTTCTTACAGTAGAAATTCAGATAAAGCAGGGAATCATAAAAGTAATATATAAATATATACTATAAATATACTTTAATTTATAACATAAACATATATTCATTTTTCAATCTTTCGATATAATTTTAATTTTTTTGAACAAAAGTCAACAAATGAGAGTTTATTGACTCTTTCCTGCATAGCTCTCCATAATCCATGACTTACAATTTTTAGTCAATATTTCTTGAAGTGAAGCAAGATGTTAAAGATACTTGTGAAACAATCACAGAGTTGAATATTCTTGATTTGTATGATTCTTCACAACTTTTTATAACAGCTTTATCCATGTTTAATTCCATAGTCTTCAAGAACACTTCTTTATGAAGTCTTACCAACACATTTGATACAGTTTTGTAGAAACCTCACTCATATTTCGTCAGATTACCTGATACTTATTTAGATAATGTTCCCTCAAGTGCAACTGGTATAAACGGGTTTGTTAGCAGGAGCAGAGCACACCAGCAGGAGCCACTGCCCTTGAACTCCAGGTGTGCAGCGGACAGCAGTCAGTGTGCCTTACACAGAGAAAGAGAATGTCCGTCAACCAGTTAATCTGTTCATTGAAGATATGTTAAAGAGAGTGTCTAGACTGTTGGAAATGTAGGAGTGAGAATGGAAGGACATGCAGGATAGAGAATGACACGTACAAAGGCATGGAGTCGTGAGCAAACATGGCCCTTAGGCATAATTTTAAATCACTTTTATGACGGGAGCTCAAGACGTCCATGGAAAATTGCAGAACATGAGGCTGGAAAGGCAGGCAAGGGTATAGAGCAGGAAGGAGCTTTCATCGTATGTGGAACCGATTTTAGATGGCTACTTTTCAGCAGGTGTGGCCTCTCCGTTCCCTTCACATCCTCTGCTTCCCAGCTCACACATTTATATTACCCACCCAGCCTTTGAAAGCACCTGAGTTTGCCATCCCAGCTTAGACCCTGGGAAATTGTTGGAGACTTTCAAATCAGAAAAGGACATGATTGGATTTTCATTTTAAGATAATTCAGACGAAGCTGTGTAAATTGGCTTAGAGAGGGGAGAGGGGAGTGAAAATGGACATAACCAGTGAGGAGGCAATTACAGAAACTGAGGTGAGAAGTGATGAGGGATAAAGTAATAGCAGTAGGAACAGAGAGAAAGAAACACATTCCAGAGAGATTTTTAAGCTTGGTGGATAAACCAAGTGAAGATTACAGAAGGCCAGTTGGAGATATAGAATAAAATCCTTTTAGATGAGAGAGACTTAGGGGGATTGTTTTGTACTAAATGGAGGGAGCCAGAAGAGAGAAAAGGGATTGAAAGTATACAGAAGAGAAAAGGAGGAAGAGATGGCATCTAGAACACAGGAACAGGGAGCATGGATATCTCCTCTGAAGGAGGAGGGAAGAATCAATAGTGAGTGAATGAATTTGTAGTTGGGGAGGAAGCTGGTAGAGCTTGTGTATGGTGACCTCCAGTGCAATAGAGGATAAACTTATCTGCTGAGAAGGGTTTAGAGGGCAGAGCAGGTGGGACACATCAAGGGGACAGAGAGATTAAATAGCCATTTTGGGGACTGAGTGAGGAAAGTGGCTACGGACAACAATAAGGATTCTGAGCATCCATGTGGACCCAGCTGAGTCAGGAAATTGCACATTCATAGGGGAGCACACCGTGAATGAATGGGGATTTTCTCTGGCAGTGCTCTGAAGCCTGACATAAGAGCGGAGAAGCAGATGATTGGATGATCCAGGTGTGCCTGTTTGCAGAGAATGAGAGAGTCAAGAGAGCTCACCAAGGGTGGCTCTTGTGATGAACCATGAGATCCTGACTGGATCTGGAAAAGAGTGAAGCCAGGAGATGGTTGGTGGGCTAAGAGGTCAGAGTGCCTGCTTGGGTCATAGTTCATCCGTGAGTAAGCTTAGTCTTGAAGCAGACAGGCATGAAGGACGGAGGGAGGCTAACGGGCGTTCCCTGAGGTTTTGCACAGATAGCAAAAGCTGTGACTGTCACTTCACTCTACACCGTTCTAGGCCAGGATTCTCTGAGAACCTGACAGAAACTGGTTTGTCTGCAGATTTCATGGGCTGAAACTTGGTAGAGCTGGGATATATTATTTTTTAGAGGTTTTATCTATGGGCTCATTCTTGGATGAGGAAGTTGATACTTAGAGAGGTTCCATGATGTGTCCAAGCTGACACAAGTAACTAGTCGAGATTAGACCTTCGCTCTCCTGACCCTCGGCACGGTCTCCTTCTCGTCACCATCCTACCTTAGTCCTCTGTTTTGAAATTCAGAACCTACCAAAGCGCCGCTCCATTTCTTCTGGTTAATCTTCGCAGGTTAATCTTGCATCAAGAAATTAAATAAAAATAAAGGAGTGTTTGAAAACTCTAGAAATCTGCCTTTTTGCACAAGATTACTGACCATGTAAACTGTTTTTTCTTCTTTTAATTCACCCTGTTCCCCAATTAGACTTTGTGGTCAGCATGAAAAACTTGTGACCTCTTTCACTTCTCTCCTTCATTAACCCCTTACTCACTTCCTCCCCAAGTACTGATATATTAAACCAACAGAGAAAAACTCCAGCAAAAGACAGGAAAAAACAAGGAAAAACAACGATAGAAGGTATGTGTACAGCGCTGGGAAGTTGTTGTAGAATTAAAACTCCTCCAATCCAATTTTAAGATCAGTTCCCAATGTTTTTGTGAAGATTAAAACAAAAAAGAAGAATAAAATTGTTCCCTCTGCTTCCTGCCACTGCGGTCCTGCTTAGTGCCCAGAGAAAAGTTACTTTTCAAAAAATACCCAACTAATTTCTTTTTTGAGTGACGGAGTTTTGAGGCAGGATTTCAGTGTTAAGCATTGAAAAGCAACCACTAAACTGGAAAAACAATGCTCAAGTTTACACAAATAGACTTGTCTGGATTTCTGTCAGTCTGGAATTCAGTCTGCTCCAGGGTTGTTCTGAGAATATTGTGTAAAGGATCCCGTCTCTTTCCTCCCCTGCACAGAACTGTCGAATTCTGAACCCTCGTGAAATGCTAACCAGCCCTTTCCCCCATTTGAAGGTACCGTGTTCTCTGCTACAAATGGAGCGAGAAGCCACCAGTCAGCCCGGACACCTGTGCCGCCATTCTGGAAAAAGCCGGTCTTGATAACTGGGCTCTTGGAAAAACAAAAGTAATGTTTCCATGTAATTTTCTAGGGAAAAAAGTTAATAATTACATTGGATTTACTGAGAATTATAACATTTTACAATGATTGAAATATTATGGCTATGTATGTTACAGAATGTTAGCTTAAAACAGGGGAAGTAAATTGATGAATTAATTCATAAAGGTTTTCTTCAGAAAAATTGCTTTGTGTTCATAAAGGTTTTAAAAAAAAATCAAGAGAACTTTATCTTGAAGATTTACCCCAAAAGATGAAATTTATAGTAAGTATACTTCAAATAGTATCTAAAACAGACCGATATATTTTCTCTATCACCACTAAATATAGTTAAAAATTGTAGAGAATCATAATGCTCTAAGTAGGATTTTTTTTATTCTGTTCTATTTGAGAACATTTTTTTTCTTTTTTTTTCTAATTCTCAAATCTGCTTCCATTATAAAACTTGAAATTTACTGGCGTGAATAATTCACCAATACTAGTAGACTCACTATATGTGTTTGGATTTACTGAGTATTATAACATTTTACAATGATTGAAAATATTATGTTTATGTATTAGATCTGAGACCTGTGAGATCTTAGTTTATTTAGTTTAGATAGAATGAAGTAAACAATCATAACCAATTTTGAATACAGAAGTAAGACAGGTGGCTGCTTAACGAAAGGATGCACTGGGCTTCTTAGATATCTCCAGAGAATTATGAGATGAAGATGAGATAAACAGGATACCAGGTCTTAGGACACACAAAATGGATCACTGGGAGAGGATGGAAAAAAGAGCCAGGCTAAAGAAAAGAAGTTCTCATAGACTGACCACTCAAGAATAACCGCCATCAGCCATACCATAGACACAGAGTGAAACCAACTTCCACATCTGCAAAGAAGTTTATATTAGTTGTGTCTTGGGGGTGGGAGATGTGGGAGAGGATTTTCATAATGATCAGATGAAAAATTCCTCCAGTAACAATTTAAGGAATTTGTTTCAGTGTTTATCTTAGAGTGAGTCCCACGAATTCAGTAATCTGTGTTTACTTTAGTATTTAGTAAGGGCAAAGTGTGAGCACTAAAACAATGTGTATTTTGTTCACACCCTTTACTTTGAGATGCTCACAAAGATGACTTTTGCAGGCTGATTCACAGTCTGAAACACATGCGTAACTTGAAATAGAGTTTTAACTTGTAAAAAGGCCCTTTGCGGTCCAGTTCCGCATGATATTTGAGTAGCATTTTAAAGCTATTTGTATTTTTCCACTTCACCTTTTCCAACTCATTATGATGGATAAAAGTATTCAATATAGGACCATTTCTAATGCTGTACCAGAAAAATGATGACCTTTTTAAACAGATTGAATTTTAAATGAATCGTCAACAGTAGAATGGACTAAATATATTAACATCGAGAGTCCTGTAGAAATTAAAACTAAATTTAATCAAAACCTATAATGCTAAGCCGTTTGCCTGTGGTACCAAGCTTTCAAGTAATGGAATGCTGAGAGAATTCTGCAGTCAGGGTTACCAGGTCTCATGACTCAGCTGTTAAATTTGAATTTCAGTGACTTTCTTAGTGGATTCAATAAACTCTCTTGGACATGAATTTCATTAGTAAATGTAGCCATTAAAAGAAGAGGGGGAAAAAAACTTCCCATTTCCTGGAGGAAGTTGAAAAGTCTTAGATGAGAACATCTCTAGGCCTTCAGGCTCCTCTGGTGCTCCAATTCATTTTGATTTTAAAATAATCGAAAGTCAGCCCTGCTTTCACCAGGGTGTCCACAGGGTCCAGTGAGAAAGTTGTCCGTCCTGCCTGGGGCCCTCTCTCTGCCTTGTTTCTCCACTGACAGCCTTGGAGCCCAGGAGAGGCAGTGCCCCCGCCTTGTTCCCCTTTGCGCCAGGACATGAGTACATATACAGGTCTCGATAAACATTTAATAAATGAACTACTCTATCTATAATTGCTTTCTGTCTTAAAAAATAGATTTGTAAGATTTTTAAATTTAGGAAATATAATTGTCTTTTTTGAAAAATAAAAGCATGAAAATTAGCTTTGCTCAGATGCTAAAACTTTGATACAACAGCTCAATATCCTCCACTCTTATCGGTCCATCCAACAAAACCTGTTACAAATAAACAGCGTGATCATCAAACTATATTTCTTCTTAAAGACAGGTTTTCTTCAAGCATAAAAATCTATAATGTTATAGCAACATCCAGGCCAAAGAAGCAATAGGTAGTACATTCCACAATCTAAAAAGATTTAGAATATAATCTATTCTTCAAAGCAAATCACATGACTGTTCACACCTGTGTGCCTTAGTTTTATTTGTATTTTATTTTAATTCTTTCAAGGTGTTCCTTAAATATTATCATGTGGAACAGTTAAATTTAATGCGAAAGGAAGCCATTGACAAGATTATTCTAATTCAAGCCTGTGTCAGAGGATTCTTGGGTTCAAGAAGATACCAGAAAATACAGGAGAAAAGGAAAGAGAGCGCTATAATAATACAGTCAGGTAATCCCTCAGACCGTCTCACAATGTAACGAAGTACAATGCTGTGTTTAGATGTGGGCATACAATCGAATCTTGTATACAAGTTCTTATAGAGCTTTTGTGTTTAATTCCAAGCTCTGTTACCTTGATACTTTCTACTAAATGTAAATCAGATTGTTTTAGTGATTGACACTTTTAATATTTGAATAAATGTTTTTTTAAATAAAATAATTTAATTTTTGAATTTTCTGTCAAATATTAATGAAATAAAACTGACTTATTGTGCAAGATACAGTAAGTGATTGAATTAATTACAGATCTCAAGAATCTTATTATTATAACACGTTGGACAATAAGATTTTTTTAATTTTATTCCAAAGGTTACACTGGCCATAGTTTTTGATAACTTAATTAAATCTCATTTTAAAGGGCATTCATTTCTTTCTATTAACTGTAGAGAAATATTTATAATTACATTTCATAAATTTTTATTAAAATATATTCATAGACTGGATTTTGCTTTCCATTCTTAAATTTAGAACCTAATGTGGCTTAGTACAGAATCATTCAAAAATTTTTGACTGCACATTTAGAGTAAAAAACATATTTTTACACACATACTGTGAGCAGTACACTCTGACATTTTCTATTCTGGTTTATTCCATTTCATTTTCAGAGGCTAGATTTAGCCCACTCGATCAATTTTACGATCCACTATTGATTTGCAACCTGTGTTCTGATGAAAACCTAACATACAGGCGATTCATGTTCCAACCCTAGTTCTCTGCATCCATAATGCGCATTATCATCTCTTGGAATTTTAAGCTCTTAACTTCTTACTGGGACATCAAAATCCAACCCTGTAGTTTGGGATCTAATTTTTTATCCACAATTTCCAAATGGATAAAACACCGGGGGTGGAAGGGAGGTTTTTTATAACTCATTTGGAAGTGAAACATGACCTAGTAGTTACAATCCTTTATTCATCCCACTTAGTGAAGATATTGTGTTTTCTGGAGAAATATTTGTGTTTGATTATGGAGTGCTGTCCCGATATGGGGAGTGTTACAGAATATATGTTATTTGCTCTGAATTACCTTTCTAAAATTAAAAAATAAAGTTTAAATCTGAATTCTGAAATATATCTGGCTCCAAAGATAATTGGCTAAAGTGTCCAAAACATATACTTAGATAATAGAGGATTTCTCTCATGAATAGTTTACCATGGCAAAAATAAAAGGGAAATAAGTATTAGCAGATTTTAACCAAATGTTACATTTTGACTTTTTCACCAACTTTGCTCCTTTCTATCATTTTACTTTCATGTTAGTATTCGCCTTAATACAAAAGGTACTTTAATTATTTTCTTGCTATAGCTTGTCATCTAACGAATCCCATATTTTTTTAATGAAACTGTTCTATTTGGGGTCTAATTTCATTTCCTCTTTGACACTGATGATCAAAAACCCATATTTTTCTGCTCATTTAAGTAATTTTTTTATTTGTTATGATTAACACTACTCTGGGCCTTATATGTTTCAGCTGCAAGAGGACATCTAGTCAGGAAACAAAGAAAAGAAATCATTAAAATGAAAAACACAGCAGTAACAACCATTCAGACTCACGATCTGGAATTTGACTACAAGAAAAACTTTGAAAATAAAAGGTATACGAATGTCATTCATATACCATTTGACACTATAGATTTTTCAAATCTGTAAAGTTACAAAATAAAGTTCATTGTCTTTCTCGTACCCAACCAAGTTCCTCGTACGCATTAAATGTCAATGAACACCAGTGGCCACTGGGGAATGGCCACTGGCACTATTTGGGGGGTTCACTGGCATTTCACACTGGTGACCACACTTCCTTCTCAAAGTGTTTTCTTCCTAGGCTTCTGCCACACTGCTCTCTATATTTTTTCTAATTCCAAGTGTCCTTTGTTAATTCCTTCTCCTCTCCCCATATTTAAATCCTTCTCCGCATCTAAATATTATCCCTCGACTCTCTCCTTCATTCCCATGGCCTTAATAACCAATATGCCATTGGCTCCTAAGTCAAAATCGAATCTTTAAAGCATAGCACCTCTGCCTTTATTTCTCTTGAGCATCCATATCTATCTTTCTAAAGTGCAATTAGCAGATCCACCTGAATTCATTTATAGAGTAGGCTTTATGCCAAGCAGTAGGGACACATAGATAAATGAGACAAAATCTTTATCCTCAAATTGCTCAGAGTCATGGAAAAGAAATATAACCAATAAATATATGATCCTACTAATATAAGTTAATTCTGCTATGAAAATGTGCAAAAGGCACAGTGGGGACATGGCCATGGAGGAGGGGAAACTGCCTTGGTTGGTACAGATTACGGGGAGGGAAAAATATCTAGATTTTGCCTAAGTGGTAAAATTTGAATTGATTGAAAATGAGTAAGTGTTCTTCAGGGAGATAATGAGCATTCTAGCCCCAACCCCAATCCTCTTGCTGCTTTTTATTTTTTTTCCGAATTTATTGAGATTTAATTGACATATAACGTGTAAGTTTAAGATGTACAATTTTACCATTTGATACACATGTGTATTGTGAAATGATTACAATAATTTCAGTTAACATTTCCATCACCTTGATAATTACAGTTGCGTGTTGGCGGGGGGGTGGTGAAAACATTTAAGAACTACTCTCTTAGCAACTTTCAAGTATATAATACAGTTTTAAGTCACCATGCTGTATATTAGATCCCCAAAACTTATCATCTTTTAAATTTCAGCTTTATTGAGGTAAAATTGACATATAAAATTGTAAGATATTTAAAGACTACATCATATTGATTTTATACATGTATACATTGTGAAAGGATTCCCCCATCTAGTTATATAACACATCCATCACCTCACATAGTTATCTATTTTTTCTTTATTTGGTGAAAACATTTAAATTCTACTCTTAGCCAAATTTAATTGTACACTACAGCCTTATCAACTATAGTCACCATGTTTTAATTGAATCCTTAGACCTTGTTCATTTTGTAGCTGAAATTCTACCCTTTTACCAATCTCGCCTTATTTTCCTCAACTCCCTACCCCTGGCAACCACTTTCTACCTCTGTTTCCATGTGTTTAACTTTTTCTTGTTTTAGATTCCAAATATGTGATACCATGCAATATTTGTATTTCTCTATTTGGTTTATTTCACTTAGCGTAATTCCCTCAAGGTCCATCATGTTGTCACGAATGGCAGGGTTTCCTTCTTTCTCATGGCCAAATAATGCTACATTGTATACATATAATATTCACCCATTGGTGGGCGCTTAGGTCATTTCCATACCTTGGATATTGTGAATAACACTGCAGTGAACATTGGAATACAGGTATCTCTTCAAGATAATGGTTCTGCTTCCTTTGTATATATACTCAGAAGTGGTATTGCTGGCTCATATGATAGTTCTGTTTTTAAGTTTTTGAGTTAGCTTCATACTGTTTTCCATAGTGGCTGCACCAATTTGCATTTCCACTAACAATGCACAAGGATTTCCTTTTCTCACATCTTCACGACACTTATCTGTCATCTTTTTGATAATAACCATTCTAACAAGTGTAAAGTGACATCTCATTGTGGTTTAGATTTTCATTTCCCTGATGATTAGAGATGTTGAGCACTTTTTCATGTACCTGTTGGCCATTTATATGGCTTCTTTGAAAAATGACTATTCAGATCTGCCCATTTTTTAATTGAGTTGTTTGGGGTTATTTGCTATTGAGTTGTAATGAGTTCTTTATATATTTTGGATATTAACCCCTTATCAGACATATGATTTGAAAATATTTTCTTCCATTTGGCAAGTTGCCTTTTCATTTTGTTGATGGTTTCCTTTGTTGTTCAGAAGCTTTTTCACTTGATGTAGTCTTACTATTTGATTTTTGCTTTTGTTACCTTTTCTTCTGGTGTCAAATCAAAAAAAAAAAAAAATCATTACCTTGATGTCAAGGAACTTATCACCTATGTTCTCTTCTAGGAGTTTTATGGTTTCAGATCTTCCATTCAAGTCTTTAATCCATTTTGAGTTGATTTTTGTGTATGATGTAGGATGGGTTCAGTTTCATCATTTTGCATGTAGCTGTTCAGTTTAACCAACACCATTTTTAAAGAGACTATCCTATCTCCATTGTATATTCTTGGCTTCTTTGTCATAAATTCATTGACTATAAATGAGTGTGTTTATTTTTGGGCTCTCTATTCTGTTCCATTGATCTATACGTTTATTTTTATGCAAATATCTTAATGTTTTGATTGCTTTAGCTTTGTAATATAGTTTGCTTATCTTCTCCCATGAATCGTATTTTGAGTAATATAAGCATTCTCTGGGGAGTATTATGGAGGTATTCAAAATACTAGCATAACCACTCATCAAAATTGTGGTGTTCTTGGTTCTTTTCCTAGTTCTCTGATCCCTGGCAGAATAACAAGGATTCTGTTATGCCTCCCGTGTAAGACTGAGGATGCTATATGGTCGGCCCAGGAAGTGGCCAGTGGAATTCGGAAAATGGAGTCCCAATAGCTTTTTCCAAGTTTGACTCAAAGAAAAGTCATTCTTTACAAATAGTTGCGAAAAACCAAAATTCTCCCATAGCTTTCCTGAGCCAAAATGAAAAGTTTCTGGCAAAAGCCCCCAAGTAGCATGTCAGGATGTCAGGTTATGACTTTTCGACTACCTTAACAGCCTCTTCATGGCCAAACTGATCTTTCGAGGGTTTTGCCCTCACCAAAAAAATAAAATAAAATAAAATAAAACTGTGTGGCTAAAAAAAAAAAAAAAAAGTTGTAGAAAAAATCTTATCTTTAAGTTAAGGGGAAATCATTTTGGAAGAATACTGGTAAAGTAATAAGTGTGAAATTCTGGCCAACATGTTATATGATCATGAAATGTAGCAGGGAAACCACTTTTCCTTTAATTTTGTAAGATATCTCCTGTGATCAGTAGCCTTAGAGCTTATTAAACTATAACACGTCAGCTTAGTAAACATACCATGTTTACTGATCTCAAATCTAGATGTATTTCTCACGTCTCCTCATTGCAGGTACTTCATTTTTAAAAGGACGTATTTGAAATGATCGAATTCCTAAGATTTTGATTCCTCCCTCATAAAGTGAAAATATGCTAGAATATTTCTCACTCTAAGTTGAACTCGGTTTTATCATTGTTTGAGTAGTAATCACAGTTTTTGCTAGAGAGGACATTTTGGGAACCACTTGGTTAATGCGACTTGATAAGTTTTTATTTTGAACTTTATTATCTCTTTTGTTTTCTCTCTTGACATTATGAAACATGTAGATATTGCTAAAAGAGGTCATATGCTCTCATTTAGTATCATATATTCAGATGCAATTATGTTTTACCCAGGGATTCTTTTGTGAAGAAACAGACAGAAAATGCAGTCTCTACTAATGAAACAGTCATCTCAGCTCCCAATAATAAAGGGAGTACATCTGTAGTGAAGACTTCTACTTTCAAAGCTGAGGAGGAAGCCCCTAATGCTGTCGAAAGTAACAACAGAGGATATCAAACTCAGAAAAAAAAGAATAATGTGTATAGGGAAGAGACTAAGGAGGAATTATATCTGGTGGGGAACCCTTGGGCAGAAGTAAGCCTCAGACAGAAGTATATGGAAGACCTTGGAGAGAACAGTAAAATAAGCAAAGTGGAGAGAGAAGACACTGTGATCCAGAATTACTACCAGAGCTATACAGAAGAAAGGAATTTTGAAGACTCGAAAGCAGCATATCTAGAAAGGAAGGTCATATCCGAAAGGCCAGGCTACTCAGGACTTTGGTTAGCTCAGAATGAGACTAAGCAGCCTTCTTTTAAAAAAACTTTGCAACCTTGTCTTAGTCAAAGGTCAGTTTATCAAAATGCAAATAGCAAGGAAAAAGAAAAGAAAACGTCTGTGGTCACCCAGAATGCATCCATATGCAGCCAGCAGAGAAGCCACCTGAGGCACGGGGCAGTCAAAGACAGGCGGGTTGAACCAACAACGCAAGCCCAGGACAGAGAAGATAAAGCAGCAGTGTTCATTCAGAGCAAATACCGGGGCTACAAGAGAAGGCAGCAGCTGAGGAAGGACCGGAGGTCTTCTTTTAAAACTCCAAATGTTGTTGCAACACCATCAGAAGGAGCAATAAATACTCAGAATTTGTATTTTTATTCTACAAAACATGAGGGATCCTGTAATATCATGATGAAGAATGACAGAGACTCAAAAGCAATTTCAGAAAAAGAAGCCTGTGATCTGGCAATTTTTTCAAAACAGGTATGTAAAAAAAAAAAAAAAAGATTTATTTACTAGTACTAATCTCTGGGAACTACACGAAACCTGAATTAAACAAAGAATTAATTATAACTGCTATATCGTCCATCTGTTTTTATGAGACTACAAACCCTTTTAGTAAAAGGTGTCAAGGGTTATACTATCCAAACAGCCATAAATTTTTAAAACAATTTGCTATGATAAAACTACTATAAAATATGCTAGAAATGTTGTGTGGCAAGACTAGTCATTGGTTTAAACAGCTTACAAAAATTCTGGCATTTGACAATGCAAGTTCCCATGTATCTGAGATATTTCATTATAGAGTAAAAAAAAAAAAGTATTGTAAATCCCTTAAAGTCTATCCTTTCTTTGCCCCAGGTTTTGAGAAGACATACTTAGGTATAAAAATTAGATGTGTAGCCATACTAAGGCACACATGCAATGAAGACGAAAATTTACATGTTACATCATGACAATAGGAACCACAAAGAAAAGCCACAAAGAAAAGCTCCCTCTTGGAGAATATCTCGTACCATTAATGGGCATGTCTCAGCTGTTTCTAGAAGGGAGCATTTGGCTTTAGGGCTTCTTGTGGGTGCACACAGAATGCTAATAACTGTATGACGGAGAGATCACAGGGACCAGCTCCTGTAAAAATGCTGATTCTGGTTCTTGCTCTCGAGGTGTTTGACCTTAAGAAAATCGCTTTATGTGTCAACACCTTTATTTTCTCTTGTGTAAAGTGAAGAATTTTCACTATATGACCTCTAAAATATTATAAATTAATATGAACTACCAGGATAGTCAATAGTATATGAAATTATAGAAGAAATGGCATAACAATTAGTTCAAAGAAAAATCAGCTAATACTCCTAAATCCCTAAACTCTGCTTTTTTGTCTGATGGTGGGTGAGCCTATGAGAAAACACAGTATTTGCCTTTGGACACCCCCTGAGCATTCAGAGATGTGACCCAAACATCTCCAGCTTCTAGATGTTAGTAGAGATATGTCATTGATTAATTTACCTAGCCCCTTCCCATTCCATTTTTTTTTAAGCACAGGGAAATGGTGAGTTTAATATACATGTGGTCCTTCATTCTCTTGGTGCATAAATTTGCTCACCCTAATGTCCAAGTCGGGGACTAGAACCCTGACCTGCTCGGCACCAGAGACAGACATTGAGGAGACATGGAAGTACCACGAGTACTTGGAGCTGGCTGATCATGCCATGGGAGGGGACCCAGTCCACCCCAGGGACAAAACCAGAGGCAGAGAAGTAAGATCCCCACGTTCAACCTAGCAGGACAACCACATTGACGGACAAGACAGAGGCAGAGGGACCGGGGTGGAAAGAGAGGAACCAGAAGTGAGTGGCCCTAACATCAGTCTGAGAATACTGGAAAGGAAAGGTGGAACTTAATCCATCAGCAGCATGGTCACAAGCCAGATCCCCGGAACCCCAGGAGTTGATCAGGATAGAACAATTCCTGTAGCGGGACGTGGTTGGCAATTTTAAGTGGAAAATGTGAGACAGGTAAGTGGCACAGGGAGGGGGTTTGGGCAAGTGAGGATTTTATCAGGCTTCGGTAAGGGATCGAGTGGTGCCTGGAGAAGTTCACGAGAGTCCCAGGGACCACTGATCAGGAATGTATTAGGCCCTAGTGTACCTGCGAGCTCTCTGAATTCTTTTCCTTGCTTTAATGTGACACATGACTTTCTTTTTTTAGATATCAAAGTTATCTGAAGAATATTTCATTCTGCAGAAAAAACTGAATGAAATGATTTTGTCACAGCAACTGAAGCCTCTTTATCTGGGTGTCTATCCTCATAAGCCAATTAATAGACGAGTTTCTTCACAGCAGTGCCTCTCAGGTAAAAATCAATGGATTAGAACCTCCTGCGGGAAAGGCAATGCCAGGTACTTTCCTTTATTTGTTTATGACCTTCCTACCTTTATTCTCTGGCGAATTTGAGGTGACCGTGTCCTAACTGTCTTGGAGAGAGCCTTTGTTTCATTCCATTTCTTATAAGCAGATACACGGTTTTCCAGAATGTTCCACATCCCTCCTACTTTCTCTGACTTTATTCTTCTCCTCTTTTCCTTCTTTTTTCCCCTTATATTCCCTTTAACTAGAACTTGGCATATGACACTAGAAGGGAATAGAAAGAGATGGAGCTGGGCGGAGTGGGGCAGGGTTGATAAGAGGGAGCAAACAAGTAGAATATGTTCCTTTTGTCAGTGTCTGCCACTTGGAATAGTATGTGGCAAGCGCCAGTCTTCATCTAGATGTGCAAACCCAGATGCATTATTAAGTTTCCTTCTAATCAACCTAAGTCACACTCTGCCCCTATTTCATTAAACTGGTGGGGATTTCGGACTCAGTAATGATCCAGCCTCCCTCTCCCCAGGGCTGTGCAAAGGCCCTCAGGCCTTAGACACCCACCAAAGGGTCAGGTAGAGCCTGCGGTGACTGGTCATTTGTCCACACAGTAACTGTTGCGACATCCATCTCTTCACTGGCCTCATGATCCCGTCAAGTCTTCTATGCCCCCAGGAGGCACCCAGAAACAGGCAAGCTGGGAGTCTCACCTATTCCACACATACTCCATCCAGTCTGCAGCCTTATCACCTACCCCAGGGGCGGCCATTGACAGCTCTGCTGGCCTCAGTCTGGGAGAATCTGAGTTTATTTTCCTTGGCTCATTCTCTCTGTTTCTCAGAGGCCCTTTGCTCTCTCTGCGTCCCTTCCAAGACACCCAGCACCACCTCCGCAATGAATCTACCTCTTAACCAAAGACAGGAAGAGCTGCTAACCTCATGCAGCTTCTGCAAAAAAAAAATACCTTAGGCAGGAAAGTAGTAAGATGAGCATGGCTATTTGCCTGATATGGGAGGAAGGAGAAATACCTTAATGTTTTAATCAATTATTCTGCTGTACTGTTTTCAAGTGGAAAATGGAACAAAGCTTTTATAAGGAAAATTTTTTAAAAGGCTGCCCTCAAAGAGGCTCTTTGGCCCTTTCCACTTCTGCTGCTTTCAGGCCCTGAAGAAGCAATTTAACAAGTCAGAGCCCAGGGGCCCATTAGTTCAACTGCCACCGTTGACCCGTGCCCCAGACGACAGGGTCTTCAGCCTCCCTCTGGCTCGTGCGTGTGGCAGCTGTGGTGAATGTGGGCAGTGAGGTGCTGGTCACGTAGGGCAAACAAGGGCAGCCAGGCAGTGCCCCCGGCATGGGCAGCTCAGCTCCGTCCTCAGTGGGAAAGGGGAGTGTGGGAGACAGCGGCGTTTCAGAGTGGGGGCTGCCGAGGTTTTGCTCTGACTTGTGCCTTTGAACATCTCAGGGACTTGTGTGCGTGTTTAATGAAAATGAATATAGATTTAAGGTGTACAACACGATGATCTGATTTAGACACACACAGTGTGTTTAACACACACACTGCGGTCAAGTTGATTAAGATCTCCACTCACATAGTTACCCTTTTGTGCGTATGTGATGAGAGCGTCTGTATCTACTCGGTTAGCAAATGTCCAGTATTCAGTACAGGATTATTAAGTAGCGTCATCATACTGTATAGATCTCTAGACTTATCCATCCTCTCTAACTGCAGCTTTTTACCTTGTGACCAATATCTCATTTCCACCCCACCCGGCCCCCAGTAACCACTGTCCTACTCTCTGCTTCTATGTATTTGATTTTTTAGGTTCCATATATAGAGACCATGCAGTTTTTTCTTTCTGTGTCTGGCTTATCTCACTCAGTATAATGTCTTCCAGGTTCATCCATGTTGTCATAGATGACAGCACTTCCTTCTTTCTCATGGTTGAATAATACATTTTATGAATATAATATTTTACATATATCTAATTCGCTTTAATCCTGCGACACGAACAAAAGCCATTGTCTATAATCTATGCAAATCTGTGTTTTTAAACTGTGCTAATTTCATCACTTATTTTAAACATTTATTCAGTTACATTATAAAAAATTAAAATAGTAAACAATAGGGACCTTCAATAGTCCTAAAAACAGCAGACTCTTACTAGATAATCAAATTAGTTTATTTTATGTTTCAATCTGCTAATCTTTTAGTGAACTTAAAAGAATATCAGAAACCAATTTTTAGCTTATATGGAAAGGATTATAATTCAGTGACTTTTTTTAACTCTTCAGGTTTAGGGGGAGAAATTTTTGTTCTATGCAAGTGGAGGAAGGTTACATATTCTGCTACACTTGCACAAGGCTAAATTGGCAAACATCTAAATTGTCCCACGTCCCGAGAATAGCAGAGGAAGCTCCTGCAAGAGAGGGCCTGAAGTGGCCTGAAGAGACAGAGGGATCTGGAGGGACTTGTAGGGATAAAGAGAGGGCATTGGAAGACGTAGCAGATGCCAAGGACCAGAGACTAGATAATGCATTTACTCTGGGCAAATGCTGACAAAAAGCCAGGAATAGCTATAGGGCAGATGATCTATCTCCATTAACACCTTGAGGCTGCAAAAGCCTCCCACCCCCACCCCCAATTTAGATGTAACCGGGCAGAAAGAGAGGAGGGTCAGAAACCTAAAACGACGAAGTTTACTCAGAAGACTAAGGAAATTGAAAGCAACTGAGTTTAACTAGAGTTCATTGAAAATAATGTAAGGCTAGAAAATAGGAATGAGCACCAAGAGGTGGGAATTAAGTCTAGCTTTAGGAAAATCAACTTACATTTTCATACATCTGAATTGTTGTACACTGTGAAAATACAACCCCGCTATAGACAGCTGCATTTTTGAAAGATCATTCTGATTACATTGTATGAACGGAATTTGATGGCATAAAAGGAAACACAGAAGGCCAGCTAGAGATGGAAGTGGTTTGGACGAAATGATGGCCTAGAAGGGAAGCAGTTTCAATCAACAACAGTTCGTTGACAACCTGCTAAGTAGGCAGGTGGCCATGTGCATTGGCAACTGAAGCCATGTAAAAGTAGAGATCATTCAGGAAGAGAACCTAGAGTTTGGACATGTACAAGTCAGGTAGAAAAGAACCAGCAAAGGGGAACAACAACCAAAGAGTTGGGAAGAACACCAGGAAGCCACAGGAAGAGGGTTTTTAAGATGTACAGATGATGCTGACAGAGCCAGTAAGAAGAGAACTATAAAATATCCATTCACTTTCCTACACGTTAATAATTATTTGCTAAATTCCACAGAGGCTTTTAAATATTAGACTAGATACAAATAATAATTATGCTGTTTGGGAGGAGAATCACCCCCAATATTTACTAGTCTTTATCATTGGATATAGTCTATATTCATATATTTTAATGCTATGCAACTGGTTTTTTTAAATTTCTTGAATAGTTTATAAAAGTTTATGCTAAAATACAGGTCAAATAAGTCAAACTGAGCTTGCAAATTGAGCCAGATATTGCCTGGTCAGTATTTAATTTCTGAAATGGTTCTATGTCCATTATCGTATCTTTGAATGTGTTTCTTTCATCTCAGGATAGGCAAACTCTATCTTAAATTTTCAGACTCTGGTTTTCTTTATAAAACAGTTTAGATTTGCCAATCTCTTGACCACATTTAAACCAAGAATTTCCACCACCTATTCCTTATTCCTCTAGTTATAGTGATTTTCTCCATTATCTTTATACGCCTACAGGTATCACAAACGTCACACAGGTATTCAAATGCACACTTGTTGAAGAGAGTAGATTATCAGTACCATAGTCTGCATTTACTTATCCTCAAAGTTACTTCATACGAATTAGTTTTGTCTTTCTTAAGTAGATTTTCAACCCTTTGCAAGCCAAGACCATGTCATATACTATATATTCATTTTTTTGTTACCCTAACATTTATTCATCACGTAGTAAACATTCAATAACTGCTTATTAATTGACTAGAAAGCTGCTTAATTTTCTCTGAGACTTATAGTGGAGCAAAGTATAGTGGAGGTGGAGAGAAGATTGGAAAGTTTGGTTTTTATTAAAACAAAAAATGTTAACATTACATTTTTTAAATGTTCTTTTATTTTCATATGTTGTCTGCTTTAAAACTCCCTGTGGTCAGAGAATAAGTTCTTATAATATATGGAAGTCCTGTCTTTTTATAAGGGGCATCAGAATTGCTAACCACTGAATTTGGAACCCAGCAGTGCAAATAGCTGCCCTCACCTACAGAAGCAGATATGGGCTAATAACACTGTGAAAGCTGTTAGCATGGGTCCAACAGGCCACCCCTGCGGTTCTGTCCTTCATGATATACCCTACTTCTCCATGGAAAAATTTCTTTTGGAAAGCCAAAATCAAGCTCATTTACAAATAATTCTTTCATTAAAATAAGTCTAAGATTCACCTGAAATTTTCACAAACTCATGCTTCTCAAAAGTCTGCAGTCATCTTCAAATAATTGCTACATCCAACTCTGTTGTAAGAACTCCATAAGCCTTAGCTAGATTATGTAAAGTGGCCTGGAAAAGCTTCTTACCTGCTCTGAAGAGAGCCCTAGAAAACATGGATAATAAATGAGGGTAGTAAAATTTTGCAAATTTTAACAAGCCGTAACCTTATTTTATAAGGTTTCTCTTTCTGTGAGACATGTTTAAATGTGCAAAAGTACCAAGAGTGAAATAATGTCCAAATGAAAACTGAGGAGCTAATTATGAAATTTTAAAATAAAATAAGGTAAGTACATGAACAACTTATTGTATATCTTTGTTTTGATAATAATTGTTATGAATTGAAACTGATATAAACTAACTGCACCTCCATTTTTATTGAGAAAAATACAGTCTAGACGATATATAACTAGAGCATGGCCATTTGATCATAGATCCTAATACATGCTGTTATGTTCATAAGTATACTATGACAATGCATTA